AATGGATGCATCAGAAAGCATATTAAACTATTATCAAATGGGAAATAAGCTCAATATGATAAATAATAGGGAGAAAAGCGTGATGACGGTTAAATTTGTAATTTCTAGCTTTATTAATAGTTTCATATAAACTTTCAGAGTTATTATAAATGATTCATACATTTTGAAGACCTATGATTTCAAGCATGGATTACATGAATTACGTATGTTCTCGGAAGAAAATATTTAAAATTTCTAAATTCGCATCTGCAAACATTCTTGTGACACCTCGTGCGGCACACATTTTCAAAACCTTCTAGAGGCGTTAGGATTTTTGGAAGCAGGTAAGATCAAAAATATGCAACGCCTTCCCCGGGAATCGAACCACGAACCTCTGGAATAAGCGTCCAGCGCGCAGACCGCTACACCCCGAAAGCATGCCAAGAAGGCGGGAGAAATATTTTATACTCTTATTTTACAGTTAAAAGTGTTTTTTGTTCTGCATAATGCTGATATTTTTTTCATTTTTGTTCACAAACACTGGTTGTCTCTGTAAAGCAGAATCCTAAGATAAACAGGCAATCCTAAAGAAACAATAGAGAATGATAGAGACAGTATTTTTTCATTTTTATTCACAAACACTGGTTTTCTCTGTAAAACAGAATCCTAAGATAAACAGGCAATCCTAAAGAAACAGTAGAGAATGGTAGAGACAGTTTTCGCGTTGTAACCCAATCAGCAAATCCCCCTAGTGAGCAGGGCATTCCGTAATCAACAATTTAGAAGATTTTGCGGTAGAGCTGTGATTGAAATTAAAACCATACCTTTTGCAAATGTTGAAATATTTAGTGTCATGTGATTACAAGTCATATGATCAAGCCATACGAATTTTATAATCGCACTGTATAATAATTTTAAAGTCGTTTAATACGTTCAAAACATTTCGGAAGAACAACTTTTTAGAACAATTTTTCTTCTGCTTTGTCACACAAATGACGGACACACGACACATGTTAATTGCATGGTATCATGTTGATGATATGGCATGATTTTTAGCTTCCATATTCTGCTCTGTAAAAAGAGGAATATTGCCCATAATTTTCTCCCTACAAATTTCTCTGTATTCTCTCTCTCTCTAATATATTGTTACGTTTTTTTTTCTGACACCAGTTGTTACGTTATTTTCTTCCTTCACGTTCGTACGGGGTTCGTGTGGATTTGGAGTGAATAATGACGAAACTTGATGAAGTATCGAAACACACTTTATTTACCAATATTAATCAGGACAACTCCAAAACACATTTACAGTCGTCGAAGATCTATTATAAACACGCTGGAACAATCAGCGACACAGCCTTTCCAGTGTCAGACAATAATGTTGGAGACAGCTTCAATGCAAAGCATCAGAGTACACCTCCGACTCTGCTCAGTCGTTCACAGAACTCCACGTACTCTCGAGACTTTCCACGCTACAATTCGCAACGCACTCAACGACACACAGAACTCAGCTCCCGACTCTTCGGTTCAGTCGTTTCCGGAACTCAATACGCTCTCTCGACGATGCACTAACCGCGATACACTAAGAAATTCTTCGATGTACTCGACGACCAACTCGGCGCTAGACTTCGAGACACTCGCTCAATGACTGACTATCAGCTCGCTAGACAAGGCACACACACTGACTGCGGGCCAGCAGGGTTTATATAGCTTTCAGCTTGTGTTCGAGAACATTCTATGCTAAACCGGTAACAATTCGTTCCAGGAGATTTTCCAATCGTCCATGGTATATCGCCAATTTTGTCGCCAAATGGCCAGTTGGGGATTTCTCGCCAAATGTGTCAATCGTGCCTTCCTTTGCTATTTTATGGCAACCCTAAACTTGCTTTGCGGGAAAGCTATCTCACCGCGCCTGTACATTTCGTAACACTATATATACAGGGTGATTATAATTAAAGTTTAAGTTTCAAAACGCTATAAAAAAAAAGAACTACTGATGAAAATGGTGTGAAATTTGAAAGGAATGTTATTGAAGAAAGCGGAAAGCGTATGGCAGAAGAAAAAATTTAGATTCAAAAGTTAGCAACAGATGGCGCTGTAAGCGGGAGAATCACGACGAGAAACGAGAAATGATTCGTAAAACAACGGCTAAGGTGGAAGTTACACATTAAAACCCATTGACAAATTAGAATTGTTGAATAATTTTATTTGCATGACTGTACATATCACATCGAAAGGGACAAACGGTTTCAAGAGTTTTGCGGCGACATACCGCATAAGAACCATTCATCAAAGCAGTTCGGAACTGTCGCGAGACTGGCGCAAAACATGTTCAATATGGTGGTCCACCGTTGTGTTGCAACAAGTTGAAAGCGACAAACACAGCATGTTACACAACGGATCGCAGTGTTCCGGGGTGATGTTCAGAATGTGTTGCGAAATGCGTGCCTTTAATTCCGCTAAATTTGCAGTTGGAGCACGGAAACACAACATCTTCAGATATCCCCTCAGCCAGAAATCACACGGAGTAAGATCAGGCGATCGGAACGGCCAGGCTGTAGGGAAATGACGGCTGATAATTCGAGCATTTCCGAAATGGCACCACAGCAGCTGCTTCATGGGATGTGCAATGTACGGAGGAATGCCATCGTGTACATAAAAATTATTTCATCGACACATCCACGCTGTTGCAGAGCTGGAATCACGTGGTGCGCAAATCGACGCATACCTCTGACCAGTGACGGTTGCGATAACAGGATCGGAAGCACCCGTCTGCTTGAAAAAATATGGCTGTAGGACGAATGATGTCCGTAAAGCCGCACCATACCGTGACCTTTTCAGGATGAAGTGGTACGGGGTGGGTTGCCAGTGGATTTTCTATTGCCCATATTCGAACAATTCTGGGTATTCACGTACATGCCCTATCAGATGGAAATGGACTTTATCTGTCCACACAAATTTTCCACGGCCATTCATTATCCACTTCCATGCGAGCCAGGAATTCTAACGCAAACGTCTCCCTTAGCTGCCAGGTCAGACGGAAGCAATTCCTGCACATGGCCAAATTTTGTACGGATAGCATTGCAGGATGTTCCATACAATTTGCAGCACCACGCTCGTAGGCCTGTCCAATGTTCAGGGCAATTCCTCGTGCACTGCACGCTTGCACCCACTGCCGGCCGAGCCCTCCTTGTAATGCTCTGGCTACTTCTTCAACTACCGTTGAATGCACTCATTTTCTCCCTCTACCAGATTGCACATCAAACGAAACCTGTCATGTTTACGAATTTTTGCCTCATTTTCTTTAGATTCACGAACACTCATTGGACCAACACCTTCTTTTATACCCTTCAGTGTCCTGAATTTTTGCAGAGCTACTCTTGCACAATCACTCTTGCATCATCATCTTTACTCTAGTAATACAGCTTTATCCTGCAGTGAAAGCACGGTCCCATGGCGAAAACGTCTGAGACGCGAAATGATCCGAAACAGCCTGAAATGGTACCTGGCGGCTTTATAACACTGAAATTTAACTGACATTTTAATTTACGTCTTCTTCCGCTTACAGCTCCATCTGTTGCTAACTTTTGAAACTACATTTTTTCTTCTGCCATACGCTTCCCGCCTTCTTCAATAATATTCCTTTCAAATTTGACATTATTTTCATCAGTGGTTCTTTTTTTTATAGAGTTTGAAACTTAAACTTTAATTATAATCACCCTGTATATATATATATATATATACATATATACCATATACAGATTTAATAATAATAGTAATCCCTAATACATATATATATATATATATGCGTGTGTATGTGTAATATTTACAGTAGATCGCCATTGAAAATGATTAAGCTTGGCATCCAAGTCCGGATATGGCTGAGTGGCTTACAGCAGAAATGATGACACCGAAAGATTTCATTTTTTTAAAACTCCATATCTTTATTCACTTAAAAAGGTAGATCATTATTCTTTTAGATTATCTAATTTTGTATGTGCGATGGTAATTTAGACTAAATACATTAACTTTAAATTTATTGCGTCATGCTATTCAAACAAAGAAAGACAGACAGGAAAAGTGGCAACAAAGGGTATTACAGCTGCAGGCGGAGCAAAGCAATCTGAGTCTAAAAGACGCGAACTCTACATTTATAGCAGCTATTACATAACATGCCAGAATGTTCTCGAAAGTACTAGTCTAGGGGGAAGATCCTGAAATCACGGAAAGTTAATTAGAGGTTGCCTGTTCGCATAGAGCAAAGCCATCGTATTTATTATATTTTACATAGAGAGAGAGAGAGAGAGAGGCAGAAATACAAATAATTTTTTTTTAATTATTTTTTTGAAAGGAAGCTTTTTAATCCTTCGAAGAATTTTCGAGCCTTTAGAATTTTCGGCGAACTATTAAGATTAAAAATTTTATTGAAATGGTAAATAAGCTAATTCTGGATGCAGAAAAGCAAGGATTTTGTTTTGGACAGGGAACTTTAATTAAGCTCGACATACCTCCTCCGAACGACGTAGTGTCAAGGTTAATTAGATTCCTCTTCTTTTTTGTTCTTTTACATTCTTTTTAGGTTTTTCTTGTGATGGTTTATTTTAATTCTTATTCGACATTTGTAGCATTTTATGAAGATCATTTGAATTTCAATTTTTAGTCTTTGTAAAAAATTGGTTCTTTCTTTCTCTCTCTATATATCATATCATATATTATTTGTTTCTCTGTTCCTTACTCCTGTATCTCTTCTTTCAGCAATATCTTGGGTCATATAAAATGTTTCCGCTTTTTTTTTTGTTTTGCCACTAGATGGGTTTGATGCCTATATATCCGGCAACACTCACCCGATTGTCTCAAACAAACATGTGCTTAAAGGTTACATTCAGCTTCCATTGTTTGCGAAAAGTTTTCTAATTCGTTGCTTGTGTAAAAAGCTATATTGATTTGAAAATGAGTAAAATATCTGAAGAAATACGTTATGTGATGCTTTTTTACTATAAAAAAGGTAAAAAGGCTGCAAAAGCATGAAAAAAATTTTTGAAGTGTATGGTGAGAAGGCTGTGAGTGAACGAAGGACCCAGGAGTGGTTTGCTCTATTCCGTTCCGGAAATTTCGATATCAGATATGCACTTTGCTCTGGTCGACCAGTCACTGAAAAAGTCGATGAAATTTTGCAACTGGTGAAGCAAGACCGGCACGTAAGCTGTCAGGAAATAACAGAGGTACTAAACATCCACCACATGACAGTTTGGAATTATTTGAAAAGAGCACGTTACAAAGAGAAGCTTAATGTTTGGGTGCCACATAAGTTGCAGCCTGACGAAACCATCAATTCGGCCCTGTACTGTGCACAACTCGACCGTCTGAACGAAGCAACACAGAAAGAGGGAAAGGGAGTTGTGTTCTATCGTGACAATGCGCGGCCACATATCATTGATGACTTGGAACACATTGACGGATCTTGGTTGGGAAGTTTTGATGCATCCACCGAACCTTGCACCGTCTGACTACCATTTTCTTCGGTCTCTGCAAAACTCTTTTGATGGTAAAAAACTGGCCGACAGAAGAGCAGCTGAAGTTCTACACCGATGGAATTATGAAGCTACCTGAAAAATGGCAAAAGATATAGATAATAATCGTCAATATGTACTTGATTAAAATTGATTTTCAATAAAGAAAAGTTTTGTTCAACAATGTACCAGAAAATGAGACTTTTTATATGACCCAATAAATACATCCAGCACTAGGATTGGTCTTCTGTGACTTACGAAAATATATGCACCCTCATTTCCGCACATAGCAGAAAGAAGTTACAAATTTCATTTAATAAAACATTTATAGCACTAATACTGTTAATATCTTTACTTTTAAGTAATTTAAATTTAAATTATCCTTAAGTTCCCACTTGTGGTAGTCAGTGTTATTGTGAGCATGAAGTACGTGCAATTTTGTTGAAGAGTTTAATCAAATAAAAATGCAATTTAAACTCTTCCGTCTGTGTGTTATTTCTTCACGCTTGTGCGAGAAGTCGTTAGGTTTCCTAATAATATCTCACTGACCAATAAGATCCTTCCTAATAAGATCGTACAAGCAAAGAAAATTAGATCTTACAATATTTAGAATTAATTAGACAGAACATGCTTAGAATCAGTTAAATAGAACATGTTTAGAAATAGTTAGATGGAACATCTTTAGATTTAGTTAAATAGAACATCTTTAGATTTAGTTAAATAGAACATGTTTAGAATCAGTTAAATGGAACATGTTTAGAATTAATTAATTAGGACATGTTTAAAATTAGATAGAAATAGATTCCAGGTTTTGATTTATGTGAATAAAATACAATTTTTTTATTTCATCAGAATGCAGTAGAAGTGAAAAAGTTATATGTTTAATCTTAACATTTATATAATATAAAAATTAATCATTGCTTTATTGTTTGAAATTTAAATAATCGAGTATTGGGCTAGCAAAATTATACCATTGTTCAATTTTACAGAAGTATGCGTATTTCCTATTTTTTAATATAAGTGAAAATTTTTACTGCAGAGTAAAAGAGTTTGAAGTAAAATATTATAAATAAAGATAAAAATGTTTATTTTCTATTACAATAAATGCATATTTAGCTCTAATAAAGTTACTTGGATTTTTATATTATTCCAAAGGAGTTATGTTCCAAATTATTCTAGATATCTGGGATTATTTTCTATACATGAAGAGTAAATCCTTTGTCAGAGAAATCAAAAAGAAATTGAAGTAATTAATGTGAATCTTTGTATTAGTGCTGTTAAATTTGCTTTCGTAATAATACACGGAATGCCACCGAACATTTACTCACCTAGTTATAAATTAAAATTTATTACATAAATTTACGATTAAATAACGCATTTGACATTTAGTATATACTATACCAAGATGTGAAACATTTTCAGAACTCAATCATTTGCTCTCATCTCCGTTTTAAGATTTGTCTTGCCCTTAACAAAATTCTTTAGACTCTGAAATTTAAAAGGTATTTTTAGAACTCCCGTTTAGCTCTGAATGCAATGAATCGTTCATAATATCGAGAACAATGAGACACATATTCACTGCGCTAAATGAAATGCCTTTATCTTTAAAGAGCGCGCAGAATTCCATCGCCTTATCTATTTGCGCGAAAAATTTGAATCCATTAGATGACTGATGGGAATTATTCCTCTCCCTTCTCTCTTTTGATAAACCTTATGTTAGCTTGAATTTTTTCTTTTCTTGTTTTGCTGAATGTAATGTAGAAACCATAAAAATAATTCATGCTTTTAAAGCATATCGTCGCTGTCTTTGTTATGTATCGCTTTAATCAATAGCTTCTTTAATTTATAGGTTCAGTATGTTGCTTGGAATATCATCTTTTTGAAAAGGAGTAAACAGTTTTATCAAATCTGCTTCTTGTGGTGTTGTAGTGTGACAATCTATCTAACTAGATACCTACAAGTATTCAATCAATTTACACGTGACCAATATTTGCTGGCCTGGAATCTAAATTAAGCATATTACATTTCGAAATCTAATATCGAGAATAATAAAATGCTTTGCTTATCCAAATACCTTGCATGTATACCTCAGAGAAAACAACTTCTTTCATCTATTTCACATTTATTTCATCAAAACATTTTCTTCATTAAATATATCAACACAGCGTACAAGAAATAATATCACAAGAAACGGAATAAGAAGAACGGAAAAAATGGCGCGCCGTCTAATTGAAGATAGAACACAAATTTTAAATCTTTAAACATCGTTCTTCCAGTGCACTGTAAATATTTTCACGCTAACTAAACATGTTGCAGATGGAGCTTTAGACATGTGCAGATATATATTTTTTCACACAAATTTTTCTGTTCATCACATAATATTTACCACGAGGCGATGATTGACGACAAAAGGCAGCATTTTCTTGATACGAAGCACACGTTAATAATTTACTTGAGGATGTTTTTAATTTTAGCACTGCGGCAAGACAGCTTTATTTTCAACCTAAACATTTTCATCTAATTTTTGCAACTTTTTAACAGCGCCTTCTTTCTCATCCAAAAGAATGACGACACTCCATGAGCAAGATATGCAGGGGCGAAGGCTCGCACACCGTGCGAACCCGAAGTCAGCCAAGAGAGAGAGAGAAGGAAAAACCCGTTTAACTGATGTTTATATATGCACGTGCAGTTCTGCGATTACGATTACTGTAACGATATTGTCCCTGATGAATGCGCTGCGTGGTGTCAGAAATTTCCATTCTCACACTTGTAAAAGAGGTTGAAAATCACATTAAACTAGGATTTAACATGTGCATGTTTCTCTTGAAAATGCTGAGTTAATAACAAAAAATCCATTATTTAAATCGGCCATAGATTAAGATGAGTTTGTAAGAAATATGTTAATTTTATTAACAGTTAAATTTTGAGTTAAACTTCCTTTCCTATCGATTCTTGGCCCACCAGCGGCCGAGCGGTAAAGTCGATGAACACTGGTAGTTCGGTCCGAGGTTCGAATCCCGCGAACGGGTTGGCTGCATGGGTGTTTTCGTGGTTTTCTCCATGTGTAACGTGCATACGAGCCAGTTTCCCTTAGAAAGTCCTCGACGAAGGCATTCCTTCCCTTAGGCAAATAGCCCTAGTGTGCTTTGCCATAATTAAACACACCACCACCTATCGATTCTTAATTTAAACTTACCACTTCCGGTAAGAAACTGTAGGATTCTCCCCTGTGTATTTCTAAGTTACAGTTGAAAGTGAAGAACCTTTAGCAGTAATCAAAATAAATTATTGCTGTTATCAACATAGCCGAGAAACTAAAATCGTTTGCATAGTATTTTTAAATGAACAGAGACTTTTTCTTGTTACATATGCAACATACTGAAGACAAATATTAATTTTCAGCTGCATTGATTTAAAAAATATCTAATTTAACTTTTTCTGGTGTATGAACATTCATAAACGTAATTAGTGTCGTTTGGAGATAAAACTTCCTTCCATCCACAAATCATTACAGCTTTAGATTACATTTAAATTTAAGACAAATTTTACTTATACCCAACCTTAATTATTATCTTTTAATTTTGCGAGTTTAATCTTCTAATGCCTCCATTTACATTCTTTGACGTTTTTTCGTAAATGTCCTATCTTTCTAGTCGTAATGAAAATGTCGTTTCTGCTGAATTAAACACTTTCTGATAAGGAAACGTGGCATTGCAGCTTCTGATATCGCTTAGTTCTTGCAAATAACATTTTAATTACGTTTTAATACTTTTTAGTTTAATGACGCTCATTTAAAATGTCTAACTAAGCAGATTTTAGCTCAGAAGCAAATATATTTTTTGCTGTATTAAACTCAGCCTTTTTCCATTTAAAATTGCAGTTTAAAAATTATCTGCAGCCAGTTAATGAGATAGGTGAAAGTTTTCTCCGAACGTTCGTAGTCGTCAAAAGCAACAAAATGCTATCGCTATTTCCGGATTTTGTAATGAAGCGTGTAATTGAGAAGAGCGCAATTTGCCAATTACGAAATTCCTTTACAGAAGAATTTCATTATTAGTTGTGTAGAGCATTTGTGGAGAAGATAATAGTTTCAGAGAGTTATTTTTTACATTGGTTTCTCTTTGCTTGTCGCGCAGTTTTCAAAACGAAGCAAAACAAAATTGTAAAATCATTTCCGTCTTCTTGTGAAAAATGCTAGTATTACATTCAGCCAATTAATCAATTTCAGGCAAATATTCGGAGCGGTATTAAAAATTTAAAGTCATCATTATTTTATAATAATAATATCCCGTTCTTAACATATTAAAAATTATTAATTGATTATATTAAAAATAGAAAAACAAATAGATAAAAAATTTTTGAAAACTTTCAGATTTTACTTTAAGCGAAAAGCGGCATTTATTTAACGTTTCATGTGTTGCCCTTATTTATTAAATATCATGTTCATCGCACTTAAAATATAAAATTCAGTTCAACAGCATTATCATAAAATATTTAAAAGAGCATATCATTAGAATTTCCGCTCGTGCACCTGGAGATAATTTTTTTTTTCTGTACAGTGTTGCCATTGCTTGCGTTGAAATCGTCGAGTTTATTAGTTAAAAATTCGCTAAAGTTTTACAAAATATGAAATAAATAATAAAACAAATTCCACGTTCCAAATTTGGGCTTCGAGAAGCCCATATTTGAGTGGAGGACTCCCTTATTTAAGATTTTGTGTCTCTAGGTACAGTTGTCTTTTTACAGCGCGAGAAACATACATGAGCGAGTCATGGAAATTCTACATTATTTAGTCTCTTTAAATATAATGCAGAGCTCTAATATTTGGTGGCAACAATTTGAAAAGTGAAACGCCGTTTATAACGAAAAGCCACAAGATGTCAAAAGTAAATTAATAGCTCTTTCGGCTAATTAGCAAAGGTATGGAAGTTGGGAAATACGCTTCGGCACTTGAAAAGGCCATAATAATTTTCATTCAGATTACCAGACATTTTTGTTTTTATAAATAATTTTATACTTCCAAAATTCTCATTATTTGTAATAAAAGCATGTATTGAACATTTTAGAATTTATACAACTAATTTTAAATATACCAAGCAA